GTAACAAGTGACCCATTCTGACACCGGCAAACACGCCCTTGTTTCATGACGGCACTCCGGCACACACAAGATCTGCGCCCTGGGAAGACTATAAGACGAGAACAGCGCCCCTTCGAATAAGAATAAAATGCCTCATCTGGCATCTTTTGGTGGCGGCGATCTCCTCGCCAGTCATCGCTTGATGGGAGGCAGGCCCGCCACTTGGGCCACGCCATACAATGCTTCGGAGCTGTCATTTCTTCGTTGGTGACGGGTGTTGATGCATAATTTCGGGCTGATGCAACCAGGCTGCATGAAGGGCCGAGTGGACGACCGAATTACTCGAAAAGTGAGCATGCTCGACACGCAAGACATGCGAAATACCAACTGGCCTAATTATGCTGGTGTCAGCAACCTCTTCTCAAGTAGGAAGCGCCAAAGCAGGGTAATGCCTCGACAATGACGAGGCACCGGATCAATCTGATCGATCAGGTGCGATATCTCACCTTTTCTTGCTTCCAAGCTCCCAACTAACTGCCCAATCATGTTGTCAAGAGTTGGCGCTTTCATGCACACATCGGCGCTACGCAGACTCTGGCGCTTGGTCGACACTCTCGCCCGGAGCTTGCAGGCTGGATGGAGGCCACGACGGACAGGCAAAAAGAAAAAAAAAGAGCAATGGCACGGCTTGTTAGACCTCGTCAAGGCTGGGCGCAGATTTGCCCAACAGATTTTGATCAAAAATCCTGCATTAGCGTAGGGAGACGATCATATGGCAGGCCAATATGAGATCTGACCACTTGCCCTGGACCTGAAGCCTAAACGCCTTGACCACTAGCTGTCCATGCCCTGAGTTCCCCGTACTCCGGTCTCCAGTAGTTTGATCTCTGCACTCCGCTCTGTTGGCCGTCGTTTGTAACTCGTGGCTCGTGCCCGTGCTCATTCTCGTCCTCCTTAAATATAAAAGAATAGAGCCCGTCCTGAAGGAGGACTGACTGCCTTAAAAGAAGCAGTGTCGAGCAAGGGACGAAAGAAGGAAGGGAGGCACCAAAGAAAGAAGGTACCGAGGAAGGAAGGAATGACACATCGACTGTTCCGCATGTCCTCGTTGGCCGGCATCGTCAGTTGGAACCTACAAAACACACATCTCGCACCGCCATGACAAGTACGAATGCTGGTTTCGCAGGAAACGATCGTCTAGAAAGCACCTAACAAGACAGGCACGAGCTGTGTCTGCCGCCATGGTATCAGGGCGAGATGTCAAACACCCAGTACGCCATGGAGGCATAGCTGCCAACGCTGGTCCCACGATTCCCAGCCTGGGCTACACTTCTACCGGGAACCTGACATCCGAACATCTCCTCGAACTTCACGTGGCTGCCGTGGTTGTCGGTTTCACGAGTCTTCTGGCGACACTTGTTGCAGTGGTGTTCTTTATACAGATGCGCCGTAATTTTCGTCACGAGTAAGTGGGAAACCAAATATTGATACTCATTCTCGATAGATGCTCGAAGCTGACGTATTCTGACAGCCTCATTCTTTTGTTAATACTAAGCGACATGCTGGCGACGCTCTGGCTTGTACTCCTCCCTGCTATCGAGCTCGCGCGTGGCCGAATACCTTCCAACTCAACCATTTGTCAAATCAGTGGATTCTTCCTGTCCGTCGGAATCGAAGCATGCGACTTGACGGTGCTCCTCATCGCCGTCCACACCGCCTTGTATATCTTCAGAGGACGAAGCGGACTATATCCGTACCGGTTTCCGGCTTACACCCTAGTTGCGACAGGGTCCTTGATGCTTACATCCCTAGCATTCATCAACAATCCGGGTTTCGTCAATTCTGGTGCGTATTGCTATTTTCCCGCGAGGCCAACTTGGACGCTGAGGTTCCTGAGCTGGGTACCACGATATGTGGTTTGGGCGGTGATGGTGTTTATATACACCTGTATTTACATTTATGTGAGGTGGACCATGATCAAAGTCGACGAACCAAACAAACGGAGGAAAGTTGATGAACCGTTTTTCAGCCGACTACAGCAACTACCGAGACGAGGCTCGGTACCCTCTACGCCCCCAATAGCGTATCACGGACTCATTCCTCCAACACCACCATGCGACAACAAGCAACCGGACTATGGTTGGAACAGAGGAGCAAGATACGGTCAACATGGAAAGTCGAGAAAAGGCTCCCTCATTGGAAGCGGGGGTGGACAGTCACTGCCGAAGCCAGCTGTGTCGGCGACCTCACAAACTGACTGTGAGGAACGGACTCTTATTGTGACCAAAGATCCATTCAAAGACTATCCCCCAAGTGTTCACCATCGGAATGGCTCGAAAGAAGAAGCCACGGCGCTCTCACCAGCGAACTACCCTGCCCCGGCACAGCACACTATTGGCTGTTCGTGCATGGTTTGCATAGGGGCTGACAAGCCTCACGTCCCGCCTCCGCTGAATATAGAATTACGACTGCAGGGCGGTAGCGGCGAGGCTGAGTTGCTGCCCAGTTTGGTTCTATCACCCACTACGCTGAGTGAAACGGGCATGCCGAGTTCACGGCACAAGATTCGTCGCCAGCTGAGAAGAAAATTCATCTATCCGGTGATTTATATTCTGGGATGGATGGTTCCGTTAGCCGCCCATGTATCTCAGGCTGATAGGACCGGACGCCCCTTCCCGCTGGTCCTGGCTGGGCTTATGAGCATCTGCATTCAAGGCCTGGTGGCCTCGGTTGTATTTTTGATGCTGGAAAAGCCGTGGCGTCATCGCAAGCGCCCCGGCTGCTTCATGTCTCCGCGCAAGTGCTCCACGATGAAGAATAGTTCGGCAAGAGTTGGCCGGACGAGAGAAGAGATGCATGTGGAGGGCAGACTGGCAAAGACAAGAAGAGACCGGGAGGAGGAAGATCAACGACGTCAACCACAACGGTCAGAGACGCATAAGCGCGAGTGGTGGGATGCTACACTTGCTGGAATAGACGAGTCGGGAGACGAATATCTATAGTTGGTGCTTCGAGTCGGCGTCGTAGATGCTGCACGACCGTAGCGTTTCTTAAGAGGTAAATACATTCAGTTACTGTAGCCGACGCTGCACCGGCACTATGCGGTCGTCTATTTGTGTATATACTGCTAACAATAAGTAACACCCTGACATAGGACAGTGTCTCTACTATCTACGTCCCTGAGCAATTGGCCAGACTTGCTGGCAGTGTCTATTCGAACGAAACGGCGTCCAGCGTCAAGTCATTGATGTATGCATCTATTATACCTCAACTCCAAGTTTTGTTTCCGACTCCTGTGGAATCCAAGTTTCCTCCAACTCCGTGCGCGTCCTCCCATTTTTTCCTCTTTTCCCTTTAATTTTTTTAAACCTTGTCTCTTTGACATTTCATATGACGGTTGAGCTTTAACCCTCGCGGAGAAACTTTAAAAATGCTTTCCCAATGGCAACACCGTCATGCGGGATGGGCGCCCTCTTTATCGCATCCTCGTACACCTCGTCGGTGAAGATGCCCACTGTGTGTCGGTTAAACAGTATCTCGGAGATGATTTCATTCGTGAACTCGGGGTGGCCCTGGACGGTGATGTATTTCCCCGGGAGATACATTGCCTGCACTTGGCAAAAGGCGTTGCCGCCGAGGGGGATGGCGTCAGGGGGAAAGTTTTGGACAATGTCGCGGTGCATTTGGTGGATGCGCTGCGGGCTTTTTAGCGGTTCTGGCTTTTGCCACGAGGGGCCGCATTTGTTGCCTTACCATCTTGTCGAGAGCGAATATCTCCTTGCCCTTGTCGGTCAAGTCCACCTCTGTGACGGCGACTTCCCACCCTTTCTCGCTCTTGCCGACGCCGGCGCCGACAGCGCGCCCGATGATTTGGTGGCCGAAGCATACGCCCACGACGCGGATGCGGCCGGTTTCAAGGGCCCTCTTGGTGAAGTCAACGAGTTTCAGGATCCACGGGTCGTTGTCGAAGGCGGTGTGGCGCGAGCCCGTTAGCAGGAGGGCGTCGACGTTTTCGAGGGCCGGGTAGGAGTATAGGTCGTTGACTACGTCGTGGGGGGTGATGGTGACCATGTCGGACAGGTCCTGCGGCGGGCTCAACGTCTTGGCTGCGCTCGACAGGAGGGCCGTGAAGACGCCCGCGTAGCCGCCGAACTGGGCGCGCGTTTGGGGCTGCGGCGTGTCGCATTCGAGGATGGCGAGGCGGAGGGCGGACGAGGAGCCCATTTTCGCGACGCGTGTGGATGGCGTGGAAGGATAGTTGGAGGCGTGGAAGCGGATGTAGAGGAGGAATATGACGAGCGAGAGGATCAACGGGGCGAGTCGGCGGCAGAGGAGGATGGGGACTGCGGGCATTGACTTCTTGGCGAAAGAAAGAGAGAGAGAGAAAAGAGAGAGATTCGGACCGTCGGGCTTCGGAGGGTGGGACCGCGATTTACATTCAATGCTCAGGGACTCCACGGAAGGGAGCAATAAGGATGGAGAGGAGAGGACAATTCTGCACCAAAGGGGGGGGGGGTAAGTGTGGGACGAAGTAGATTTTGTTAATACGAGGACTGAAGCCTAGCGTTGGAAGGAAATGTGGATTCTGGCGATGTGCCGGGCGGCGGTTTCCCAAGGTTGAGGCGGGCTGAAGCGGGTTTCGCATCACCGCGGCCCGATGTCGGGGGCGCAGTTGGCGGAGAGGGGAGCTAAGAAAAGCAGCTAGCAGACTGGCAAGACCCATCCATTATGGACGAGGGCCGTTTTGCCTAGTGCGATCGACTCGTGCATCCGTCGACAGGGGCCTGATGGTACGATGAGGCAACGTGTAATACAATTCTGAACCGTTGGAGCAGCCGCGAAAGATGCTGCGCAACACTCTACATACGTATCTGAGTAAGGTAAGTTACTAGTTACCTACTTCATTAAGTAGGGGTCGATGGGCTTCAACAGGGGATGCATGCTGGGACACAGAGCACAGACGTTTTGAGTCGGGTGCGTCTGCCGACGTGCATATTGCACTTGTGCGTGTTGTAGATCTTGTATGCTCTTGCAGTGGGAGGCAAAAGGTATTTGATCAGATCAGGTACCTGGCTATTGCGCTCTATACTATCGTAAGTACCTAGGTATGCTGCAGTATATGAGTGTATACTACTCCGTACAGTATGTTTGTGTATACTTCCTGCACTCTCCCTGGTGAGCAAACATGTTCTGCCACAAACTGTAGTGTAGTCTACAGCAAAATGCGATGGGCATCTTGGCAAGATACGGCCCGGACAATGACGGACATGGCATTGCTCCATAACTGGCATGCCAACATTGTGTATCATTAAGAGGCAGTGCTATTGATATGCGCCATGTTTCTATGACTGTCGATAACAACTGCCAAAAATGACTTGTCGATTGCTCCCTAGGCCTATGTTGCGGATTTCTCCGCCTCCGTGATTGTATGATGTTCTGGTCGATGTACGGAGTGACCCTGGTTCAATAGAGTTGAATCATACTTCGCCCCGTTCGTTGACCTGATTGGCCCCCTGTAGATTGTTGACTTTTCAACTCCAAAACCCTTTTATTCATTTTTTTTTCTTTTTTTGCCTCTGCTGCAAGTTTCCAGCATAGCGGCTGTATCTCAACTGCCCTGGCCATCATCTCGCTTTTACGCCCTCTCGCGGACTAAAACACTGTCGAGCAGCCATGTTAGAAGCGATTCGTGGCACCATTTAGCTAGCCTTTGCAAAGCGACAATAATCTGACGGATCCCTTGTATGCTGCCTGCTGATCCAATCCGAATTTTCTCCCAGACAATTACTTGTAGCCTCTTAATATGCCCTTTTACTTTTAGCCCGCGCGTAGCGTCTATAAAGTACCAGACCAGTCATGACCCATAACAATGATTTCTGGGAGATATCACAGTTGAGACTAGCTATATCATTGGTCCTCTGGTTTAGCTCACTGATGCGCATCCACTGTCCTCCCGTCCATGTGGTGAGTTGTTCTATGGCCGAGATCCAATCTTCGCTAAGTAGCATAGCCACAACGGTCACGCCAATTGGCCTGCTTGTAAGCGGCAAATACTCTAAAATGGCTGATAAACTCATGCCTAGACTGCCCAGCCATATCCCATATCGCACAGTATAAGGCGGAATGTTTTGGAGGGTCGATGCATATGCAAAAGTCAATATATTTGTGGTGTTTTATTGGGGCAGTTGTTGTGATATATACGGAGAGAGCCGCCATTGGGAGGTTCGTCCTAAATGAAGTGAGATGCATATTCAAGAAAAGACATGCCTAGTGTTAGGACCTATATAATAAATGGAGTAATTTTGGCATCTCGCCAGAGATCCTTGTTAGTCTAATGGGGCTTACTATCGCTGTGAACCGTTTCTAGCTCGAGCGATACTCCTATCAAGGGAGAATAGACATCGCAAATCCATGGTGCTTTCCATTGGCCACTCAATGAACACTTCCGAGCTCCGTACAAAATTGCGATTAGCTTTTCAACGTTGGGTAGTTTGCCCAGCTGCTCTCTTTGACCGTTCTCATCAACCACCGCTCTTGTGTCAAGTATTTCTGTGAAGAGGTTGGTCTCGTGTTGGTCTCTGAATTTCTACTGTGGAAACCTATAAATAAAACAGTTAATAACTTTATATTAAAACCAAGTTGTGGTACTAAATCATCTCGTGATAGGATTCCCGGCCCAGTACCGCATTGTCTGATATGTTCCGCAAAGTCATGGAGTGCTTTGGCAGGCGGTTCAGTCCCACCAAACTGCCTATGGTCGATAAACCCGTGCACTTGCGAGCATGTCATGCGTTTGATTGAGCTTTTTGTGCCGTTGCGACCCTGTTCGCTTGCACCCGATGGGCTGCTCCCTGAGCTAAACGGATAACTTGAGCTATATTCCGGCCCGGGCATTGTATTAGGGTCGGAAACATAGGCGTTTCGTTGGTGATGCTTCGTCTTCTAACATTGGCGGGGTTAGTGGGAGACGTTTACGATCTTGTTTACAGTCTGTGGCGACATATATTTGCCGGCCGAGACGTATACACTAATGTGATGGCCGCAAGCCAGTTAGAGATATCTTCCCGTCTCAGATTCATCCCTATCTGGAAATCTGGGAATCACCTTTAGGGTTGGAGTGCCTACCCATGAATCCAGTTATTTTATCAAGTGTGACCAACTTTAGAAAGACCATGGAATTGCTATGAAGCGGGCTAAGGAGGCATCTGGGGGTTGAAAGAGAGGCCCAGCATGTCAGCATGTCGATATGCCCCACAGACGCCCTGCTCAGTACGCGTTTGGCCCCGCCCAATTCACTGAGACGTGCAGGCAGGCTCTTGCGGCCTGAAGCACTTGACGGTTTGACCCAACTGTGATTGACGTCAGCGTAAGCGCCAGCGCCAGCGACATTGCCGCGGCGCCGAAAACTCCATCACCACCACCAAACCCAGCTTGCCCATGCTCTCTCTATCCTGTGCACAATGCACCATCGATGACGAGCTGGAAACGTGAGCGGGATTCCATCATGTCTAGATTAACGCTGCAGGCGTTTCTGACAACCGCCCGCAACGCCCTCCGAGCACCACCGGCCCAACGCGCCAAACCATTAACGTTTGTCGTCGGCAACGAATCCGCAGGTAAATAGATGACTCGTGCGAGAAACTCCCCTATACCCACCTCGCTGAAACATTCCACAACTCGGCCAGACCTCGACTCTCTCTGCTGCGCCATCGTGTACGCCTACATCCGCAGCCACACCGCCCCCCATGCGCTGCACATCCCGCTCTCCAACCTGCCACGAGCAGATCTCGGCCTGCGCCCAGAAATGGCCGCCGTGCTGCAACACGCCGGCCTGGCGCCCCGCGACCTCCTCACCCTCTCCGAACTGCCCGACCATCTCCAGCCCGAGGAGACGCGCTGGCTGCTGGTCGACCACAACTGCCTGACGGGCCCGCTGAAGCGGTTCAGAGGCCAGGTCGTCGGCTGCGTGGACCACCACGTCGACGAGGGCGCGCTCCCCAGG